TGGCCCCCCCCCCCCCACCCCCCCCCCCCCCATAGGTCATATGATTTCGTACTTTAGGATGGTAGGTAGGTAGATGACAAGTTAACGTTCGCTTCCAGCGGATGCTGATATCGCAAACCAGGTAGTTGTTGGTAGTCGTAGTAGTTGGTAGTTGGATTGGTTCAAATTGGATGATTCTGTGTTGTTGGTTTGGTTTTTGATTCTTCGTTAGATCTGGTCGGGTCGAATGACATGGCGGTGAGACTCGGCCCTGGATGGCGTGAAGTGAGTTACTCGTTCTCCTTCATTCTTCCAAACTCGTTCTGATCATGGTATTTCTTGTTGATTGGTAGTCGAATGGTAGTCGTTGGTTTGGTTTGGTTTGGTTAGATTATATAATAACTAGAAGATCTGAAAAAAAGAAAAAAAAAGAAAGTGAGAAAAGAGGGAGGAAAAAAATAAAAGGGGGAAAAGCTTTCAACAAAAGGGGGAAAGATGTTCTCTGATGTTTCTGCAATGAAACTTGTTAAATTGATTGGATATAATTAAAAGTGTTAAGAAACTTTGAGTATGAAAACTTAGCCTATCTGTTCAAGACAGATTTGATTATAAAATGGAAGACTAGTTCCATTATCGTATACCAGTGGTCCGTGGGTGAAGCAAAAACATTTTGTATGGTGAATGGTATGCCGTTGGTTTCCAGGTACTCTGTCAGTGGCTTACGAGCGGGTTTCAGTTCAGTGCATTGAATGAGGACATGCAACCTTGTGTCAACGTGGCCGCAGCGACATTATATGACGTTGAACTGGTAGTCTCGTAGTACCGTACGTTGTTAATCCGGAGTCTGGTTGCCACTTTGCAGATGGCTACAGATGGATGGTTTGGTTTGGTTTGGTTTGGTATCTTCGGATCAATCTGGTATCTTGCGGTGTCGAGGTTCCGTAACATGTCGGCCCATTTCTGGTTGATCCTAGAAGATACGATACTGCAGAATTCCGAATAGGCGTATTCTATAGGCTCAATATCCACCAGACTCAGACTTTCCTTGGCACAACGGTCTGCTTGATCATTGCCAGGAATGGAGACGTGCGATGGAACCCATACTAATTCAATATTGTGGTCGTTGTTGGTTTGATAGTTGTGGATCATTCTTCTTATTTCGGCAATAACTTCTGACCTGCAATTCGAAGAGGTGAGAAAAATAGATTGGAGGCCGCTTAGCTAGTCGGATAGAATCGCGGCATGCTCCGTGTGATTGACGGGTAGCCATGCTACCGCGTCCCTAATGGCAAGAAGTTCTGCTGTGCGGGGGGATCCTTTTGCTAATGCGGATGCCTTTTGCTGGGATGCACAAACCGTAACCTGTTGCTGTACTACTCTTGGAACCATCGGTGTAGATCTTCAAATGGTCGGCGTACACGGAATCAATGAGATTAAGAGCGTGAGCTCTTGTTCCCACTGGGTTCTCGTGCTTGTTGGTACTCTGGATCATCTGGGTGTTGACTGTCGGGTTGGTAGCCTTCCAAAAAGGAGTAGCCGATAGGCGTCGTTCAAGGATCATTACTTGATCGAGCTGATGATCAATGACCGCTTGCCCGTAAGAAATACTCCGATTCTTCTGGTTATTTCCGACACAGACTTGAAGCATAACGCATAACATTTAAGATTTTTCTAGACCGGTTACTTTAGAATTCTATCCCGTAGGATTTATCCTAAGAACTGACAAATCAAATTCGAGCGCGCTTGACCTCTCTCGATACAAAATGGCAGACGTCGAGCTGTCCAGAGGCGACACCGAATCCTTTATCGAGGTTTTTCATCATCACCTGTTCTGTGGTGTATTTCTTCTGCTAATTATAAAGGATAAAAGACAAACTGCACTGAAACTGATAGCCGACAGACTTAGCAAAAACTGGACAGGTAGCGGTGATTACACGGAAGGATTTGTCCTTTAGGATAAATCCTATGGATAGGATGACCTAAAGAATAAATCCTTAGGACAAGTTTGTTCACATGGTAGGACACATCCTATAGGTCATCTAGTCACATGACAACTGAAGCAGAAGTAAAGTGGAGGGAGCTTATGAAGTTGGAAGTGATACGGAGGATGAAATAACAATTGTTATTAACGAGAATGACAAAAGGAAAAAACAGAGACCACCTCGTTCTTGCTGGATACGTCCCTGGCTAAGCAGGCGATTACAGTATGGTGCATATCATTCGTTGGTGGACGAACTGAAGCAGCAGGACACAATTAAAGGCCTTGAAGAATTTCTTGCGAATGAACAGGGCTTCATTTCAAGAGCTACTAGAACTTTTGGACCCTGTAATCAGACGAAATGATACCAACATGAGAGAATGTATAACAGCTGGGGAACGACTGGCATTAACATTAAGATTTTTAGCTATACAGGTAAGTTCACCTGCGAGTGAGGTTATGTAAGCTATTCAAATATTCTGCTATGTTCAGCACATAGACATAATGTTCTTTTGTGACTTGTGCATGTATAAATGTGAACATTGATGCCAACAGGACAAAGATGAGCATACTGTGCTGAATATCATGACAAAAAATACTTCCGTTTCTGTCTATATTGTCATGTATGCTCTCATCAGACTGAATTGATGAATTGTTTTCTTGGTAGGAGACAGTTACCAATCCTTAGAATATCTGTACATAGTTTCCAAGAACACAATCAGTAAAATTATTCCAGAGACGTGCAGGGCCATATATGATGTTCTACAAACACAGTATTTGAGGGTATGTAAAACAGTGATCATATCATTTCTATAATTTATCATCTACATTATTATGCACAATCATGCATCAAGCTCTTGATGGGAAACACATTGCTTTGAGAAAGCCAAGACATACAGGATCCGAATTTTATAATTACAAGGGATTTTGTAGTATTGTAATTTAGCTTTAGTGGATGCCGATTACAAATTTGTTTATGTCGATAGTGGCACAAATGGAAGTATGGGTGATGCTGGAATTTTTGTGTAAATAGCCCCTTATCGTTGGCATCGTTTAAACCTCCCACAACCACAACCGTTGCCAGACAGGCATTTGCCAGTGTAATTGTTGGGGGTGAAGGCATAACACATATAAATGGTAAAAGACCTTTACAATGGATAGAATAGGCCTTGAACACAATTAGTTTCATATTGTACAATGCATAGCCAAATCAAAACCTCGTTTACAACCTAATGTTTAAAATCAACTTTAGTAAGGTGACTTTTTTATTTTCCAAAACCATAAAAGTAATTCCCATAGAAAATATTGAAAGAAATTGTTAATGTGCATGCACATTCTATTATATTTGGGCACAATTCTGTTAGACACAACCAATTGTAATATTGTGAAAGTTCAAAAAAAAAAAAAAATTGCTTGCTATATGCAAGGTTATATGCCCACTGCATGGCAGCTTTGATTTTAAATATAAACATTTGGCAGTACAGTTACAATCACCAGTATAAATTTTCAACCTTCAATCATACACTTCTTCTGAACTTATATACTGAATAATATTACTAAGTTTTGTTTTCTAGAGTGTTTACGAGCTAAAAAGTAAACATGTTTTCAAGAACAAGGGCAATAACTCATACTAATTATTTTTCGATTCTTCTGATTTTCAATAGGGTTCATCCTTGAATGATAATAAACACTCACACTATGTTTTGCCAAAATCTGTCAAGATTTGTGCCTTCCTGAGTATTTACGAGCTAAAAATTAAACGCGTTTTCAAGAATAAGGGCAGAAGGGTTCATCCTTGGGTGATTCAAACATTTACACCAAATTCCCTCAAAACCTGTCAATAACTGAACTTCTATGAGTATTTACAAGCTAAAATTGAACGCATTTTCAAGAACAAGGGCAATAACTCATACTAATCATTTTTCGATTTTTCCGATTTTCAAAAGGGTTCATCACTTGGTACACCAAGTTTCGTCTAAATCTGTCAAGAATTGCGCCCTTTAGAGTGTTTACGAGCACGTCAAGATCAAGGAAATGATTAAGTGAATTTTATATTCTCAAAAAATCGCACTTAACCGGATGTTTAAAATTAATTATATTATTATAGTATATTATACTGTCAGTATACAATTCTATGATTATATATTCATTGTAAATCTCAAATCGTTCCCAGAGAATTGAAATTAATCGTGAAATTGTGAATAGTATTATGTTTGATCATTGAAACTGTACGCAGTTAAAGGGGCAGTCTGTTTTTTAAATATGTCGGGAAAGTTAGGTGTTCAAATTAATGAGAACTATAGAAAAGTTGTTCTTATACTGGTTAAGTTGAGGTATTTTCATACCCTATACAGGTTGTTCTTATACTGGTTTAGTTGAGTTGTTTTCATATCTTATAACTGGTTGTTCTTATACTGGTTTGGTTGAGTTATTTTCATATCTTATAACTGGTTGTTCTTATACTGGTTTGGTTGAGTTATTTTCATACCCTATACTGGTTTAGTTGAGTTATTTTCATATCTTATAACTGGTTGTTCTTATACTGGTTTGGTTGAGTTATTTTCATACCCTATACTGGTTGTTCTTATACCGGTTTAGTTGAGTTGTTTTCATATCTTATACTGGTTTAGTTGAGTTGTTTTCACATCTTATAACTGGTTGTTTGGTTGACTTATTCTCACAACCCATACTGGCGGTTCTTATACTGGTTGGCTGAGTTATTTTCATATCCTATACTGGCTGTTCTTAAGGTGGTTAGGTTGAATTATTTTCAGCAACAACTGTTTTCATTGCATTATCGATATCCAAGTGTATTTGACAAGTCCATGTAACCTTATAAACCCGAAGATCCACTTATTGTAGTCACTCTTTAGTGGTTAAGTCTCTATGCAGCAACAGGAGGGGCTGTCGCTATCAAGTCCGGAAGCATATTAGGGTTATGGGGGCGAGGTCGTATCTATCTATCTATCTATCTATCTATCTATCTGTTTGTTTGTCTATCTTGTATGTACTTATGTAAATATTTATATTATCTGTCTCGTGACTGTTATACATGTATTCCTATTTCAATATTATCATCTATTGTTGTATTTGTATATGTGTTTGTTTCTGATTGTATATTTGTATTGACATGTATTTATATAAGCAGTATGCTTGTTTCCAGATCCCTTGATCATTGTTGTATATTAGACTGAACATAAGAAATAAATATTGATTTAAAAAAAAAACTATAGAAAAATCGAGAGAAACGGGTCCCTAAGCATATCTGAAAGTTTAAACTAAAAATATCTTTCCGTTAATATTAAGAAGGCCAAGACGATTTTATAAGGTTAACGCCTACCTTTCAAAAATGCTATATTTTTTAAACTACTGTACGGATTTAAGCAAAATTATTGCCAAATTGTAACGAAATGTCATTGTGTCTCCTATACTTATTCTGGAGGTTTCAACAAACATATCGACCTGTTTAAAAGCTCAACAATTTCTACTGATTAATTCACAATCTTTTTTATATTTGATATTCAGTTTGATTACATAGTTATTACATAGAAGTAAATAGCATATTTTAGAAATCCTTTCACGTACAATTTCATTTTAAATAATGAAAATTTGCATACTGCCCCTTTAAAAGACATGAACAAAAAATAGTGTGTAATATTTCCTCAAAAAATGATTATTTATGGAGACTTGTTTCTTGTGTTTTAATTTCTTTCCGGACCTAACTTTATGTTTGACGAAAGAAGCATGTATTTAGTTTTGTTAATTGTTTCTGTTTTATGGTCGACATCGTCATCTCTTCCTGTCTCTGATGACGGAGTGTCGTCACAGTTCATACAAGAGGAAACGGATATATTATCTAAGCTTGAAAAAGAAGCGAGGGAAGCCGGAAATCCGTTCGAAAAGGTTTGGGACAGATCAGGATCAGACTTAAAAAAAAAAAACTCTAATGGACAAATATAGAAACCAAGAGATTATGAATGAGGGAGAAATTCGAATTTTGATGTGTTATTGTTATGATTCCGACAGGTTTCATGACGTGTTAAACACAGATTTGAGAGACAATAGCGGGAAACGATATCCAGTAGTAACCGAGGTATTAAACGGGGCCTTAAACAAATTGATGAAATATCAATCAAGAAATAATCAAGGCCTTCCTAAAGAATTATACAGATCCGAACCAATTGCCCCTCAGTTCAAAACGTACCAAAACTTATTGAACAAGTCTAAAAATGGCGTGCTGAAACAATTCACCTCTACGACTAAAAGTTTGAAAGTAGCCACAAATTTTCTGAAAAACAGTAAAAAGGCCTCAATGATTATCAAATTTAAAGATCCACAGTTAGGCGCTCACCTCTCTGATTTTGAAGAATTTGACGAATCTGAAATTTTGTTACCAGTATGGAGTGTTTATACAGTTATAAAAGCAATTAAGTATGGAGAAAATAAATATGATGTCGTCCTATCCGGTCCTAGATCTTCCGGCGACATTAAACATATACATAGTAATGTTATCATAATATTTGTGTCTGTTTTCATTATAAAATTTATCTAGTTTAAAAGTAGGCCTAACTTCAAAGGATTTGTGAAATAAAAGTAGGAAGTATATTCCATAATATTTCTTGTATATATTAATATTACCAGCAACCGTCCACATAAAACTGTCCAGTTGGGTTTTTAATACTTACCCATATTTCATTTTAAAGTTGTGAATTCCAAGAAATTGTATAATTTTGCGTCAAACGGTGTAAATTCTAGTTCTACTTTAAGGTTATCAGAGGAATCTTTAAAAACAAGTCTCATTATTCAAGTCTAATTCAGCCCATTATTCAAATTCAGTCTGGATTATTCAGACACAAAAACTTAAGAAAAGGGATCTTCCGTTCTGAGTAATCAAATATCAGTAGCGGTAATGTACTTTATATGCTTTTTATATTCATTTATATTTTATATTTGTGTCCGCTTTGATAATAAAACTTGCGTAGCTTGAAAATATATTTACATAAAACAATTGATATCAATTCTGTATAACATACCAAGAAATTGTACAACTCTGTATCAAACAATATAAAAACAATTGCTTAGCAGTGATGTCTTTTTTATATATTATAATTATATTATTATATATTATATTAATTTCATAATATTTTATATTTGTGTTAGGGTGTATTGAGACGAGTTTCAATGAAAGCACTGGCCTGCTCCACAATAAAAGATGGAGGGGGGTCTTCTTTTCTCAAAATGTCTGAAAGCGTGTCATTCTTAATTTTTCGAAGAAACCTTTTGGAATAACCCCTCTCCCTTAATTTGTCAAAAACTAGTTTACAGACGGATTCAAATTCAGCCTGTTGGGTGTAAATTCTATGAAATCTTGTCAGCGTCAGCTTTGATAATAAAACTTATTTAGTTATAAAATATATTTGTCTTAGCCTCTATTGTTTTGTAACAGGAACTGGCGCGACCGTCCTGGTTCTTAATACGACATTATTGTTAATTCCCAGCAATCGCTTCGAATAAATACAAGGTTTTGAACTATAAATATATTTTCTTGTAAATACCAATATCACCAACAGTACAAAATGAAGACGAAGTGTTGCGATACAATTAACAAAATTGTTGTTCTCCATAGTTTGAATTCCAATACATTCAAAAAGCGAAAATTGTCCAACGTTAAAACGCCGAGAAACTATTTCCCACGGGGCAGTGGCGGCTCTAAGAGGCGAGGGGAGCAGGAGGGCATAGGCGACTAAAAGATTGAGCACCCCATATCTCCCACTTTCTACAGGCGTAAATTAAAAGTAAACTTCCCCTATGATTATAAATAGTTATAACAATTCGTCACTAAACCGGATGTTTCTTATCATTAAAGGAAAATGAATATTGTATTCACTGAAATATCACATCGAAATGGTAAAATTGTATGCGGATACTATTATAATATTTGTGTATAAACTGTATGCAGTGAAAAGACTTCACGCAGTTGTAATCTAGTGCAAGGACGTTACCGATTTGAAATTCAATGTGCAAAGCTCAATATTTTGAAGTGGATATTATAGTTGATTATCAAGTGAAAAGATTATATTAATAATAATGGTAATATTTAAAAAGGGATGTATAAATGAATATGCATATTGAATTAGACCCGCTGAATTTTTTCCACTCACTAGAGAGAGAGATAACAGTTGATTGCTCTCCACAGACGTGACTGTAAGCTTTTTACTTATGCTATAGTGGGAGATTTTCTAGGTGTGTGGATGCTTGGATGCTAAACTGAAGTGGATGCCTAAGAAAAGTGATTGCAGTGGAACCCATTTAATTTAAAAACAAAACAATAAAACGTATATAAATCACCTTTTTGGAGTTAACTGCTTTCCTGACAACTTTCTTTTGGAGTACCTAACTGACAAAAAGAAACATGTATTTAGTTTTGTTTATTGTTTCTGTTTTATGGTCGACATCGTCATCTCTTCCTGTCTCTGATGGCGGATTATCGCCAGAGTTCATAAAAGAGGAAAACCGAACTTTAACAATTCTTGAAAAAGAAACGCGGGAAACCGGAGATCCGTTCGAAGGTGTTTGGAAAAAATCAATCCTGGAGACATTCTACAAAGAATTTAAAGCTCATGAAGGGTTCGATTCAAAAAATCTATCGAAAGTCTATAGATTCCCGGAGATTTTGAACCTTGGAGAAATTCGAATTTTGATATGTTATTGTTTCAAGGAACCGCCGTTTTTCAGGGACTTAAACACAGATTTGAGAGATAATGGCGGGAAGAAGTATCCAGCAGCAACTGAAGTATTAAATCTGGCGATAAGCAAATTGATGAAGCACCAAATAGGAACAAATCAAAGCCTTCCAGGAATATTATTCAGAAACGAACCAGATTTTCTGTTTTCAGTGTACCAGGAACTATTGAACAAGTCTGAAAACGGCGTGCTGAAACAATTCACCTCTACAAGTAGAAGTTATGAAAAAGCCAAGAAATTTGTCACTGGTCCTGGTCGAATGATAATCAAATTAGAAGATCCGCGATTAGGCGCTGATGTGGATGATTTTTCAATATTTGACGAATTTGAAGTTTTGTTACCAGTAGCGGGAGTGTATACAGTTCAAAAAGCAACTCGGGGTCAGAATAATACATTTGATGTCGTCTTATCCGGTCCTAGATCTTCTGGTAATATTAAACCTAGCTGTAATATATTGATAATATTTCTGTCTGCTTTTATTATAAAATTTATATAGCCTACTTATAGAAAATATTTGTGTTTATTGTCATCTTGCTTTACACATGAATTCGGTAATGAAGATTTACATGTAATTTTATCTATATTTAGTGGCGCCCCTTCAGAAGAGCAGAATTATTTAATGCGGAGCAGCAAGGGCGCAAGCCTCACATGGAGGGTCTGAGAGGGTTGCCCCCACCAAGTTTGAAAACAGAACTCTTGTTACATCCCGACACATATTTTGTGGCAAAAAACGGATAAACGGTTTGGGGTGGAATGTTGAAACGTATAAATCTTTAACCAGTGATTGTTGTTCCATAAAGACAACACTGGTTTTTTTCGAGTACCATTTGATATGATCATCTGTTGATTTGAAAACGAATTTAAAACATCTCTACAGTTTTCACATAAGTTTTTCTTTCATACAAAATCTCTCATTTAACACAGACAAAATATTTACAAACCATTGATGTAGATAATATAAGAATCACCTTTGGCTTGAAGTCATTCATAGTTGTTAAAATATTTCCCTTATCAATAAATAGATGGAGCCGTGGTTCACAATATCCAACTAGCTTATATGAGGCAGTGAATTAACCAAACAACCTTTTTCCTACGTAGTAGTCTGTATTCACAGACTTGTGTATTGATTGACGAGTTACTTACATCATGCATTTTTATTGCCTCAGTACCTAATACAAGGTTTACGCACTATAGTGAAGCATGGTAGATTTTCGGCACGAATGGCTTCCAGAAGATTGGTAATATTGAAACTATAGGCTACTAATTAGTCTTCATCATTGTTCTCTTGGTATGCTTAAAGGACAAATTACTCTCTATGTACAAAGAATTAAGAATTAAAAGTTGGTCTCAATAGCATATTTACTCAGTTTGTCATGAGATCAATTACGTTTACACACCAATAATGCTATTGAGAGCAACGTTAAATTCGAAAATAAAAGAAAACATTTATATCTAATTATTATCTTGTTTCTTTGGAGTGTCTTCATCTCCTTGTTTCTTCTTTTGTTTAAGCTCCAATAAAAATGTTTCTAATTGAGTAAGTGTATTCTTGGCAGTGGGGTTGCCAACAGGTCTAAAGGTAAATTGTTTAGCTTTAGCTTGAGATTGAGCAGGTGGGTCCCAGCGTGATGCTTTAGGACTTGAATCCCACTTTGATTTGATTGAGGGTGGAGGAGAGGCGTTCTTTGTGAATGATGTTCCAAGTCTGTTTGGAGATGGACTTCTAGACCTGGATGCTGAAGAGGATCTTTGTCTTCCTCTTTCTTGAGGTAAAGATTCGCTTTCCTCTTCAGTGAACTTCCTCGCTTTCTTTCCTACTGGACACTTAGTTGGTGTTTTCAACTTAGCGTTTGAATCTGTGAATTGTCGTTTTGCTGGTTTTGGTTTAGAGGATGCAGGTGCGTCATCGAAACGTTTTCGAATGTTTCTATCATCGTTATCTGAGATGCTATTACTCCTTCTTTTTTTACGCTTTTCATTCTGATTTCCAACTGGTGACTGACTTTTTTTTCTGTTTCTGAAATTTCTGTCTTGTCTTTGGTCTTTCTTTTGAGGAATCTCTGGACTAGAACTATCATCTCTTCCAAAGGTACTTCTTCTGGATTTTCTGCCATCAGGACTTCGACTTTCCTTGCTAAGGTCCTTCTTCTGATCTGAGTAACTGTCTCTGTTTTTCCTAGAACTTCTACTACCTCTGTCATCTCGAAGCTTTTGTCGAGGACTTTCATCAGAATCAGATCTTTGGGTATCCCTTTTCTTGCTTGAATCCTTTCCATGTTGTTTTTGTCTTCTATCAGGGGAAGGTGATCTTCTGGACCTCTCTCGACTTCTACTACGTGACTTTGATCTGTTAGTAGATTTGTTGCTCTTGCGTCCACGATCATCTCTTTCATCCTCACTTTCGCTTCTTCCTCGATGACCAGATTGTCTTCTTTCTGTTTTTTCGCTGCTGTGAGTTTTTAGACCAATATTTCTTCTTGGTCCTAATGATCTGTCGATAAGATTGACACTATCAGATGATCTTCTTTTAGATCCACTGTTTGTTCGATCTCTGGAGCTTGGTAAAGATTTGGGATGACGTTCTCTGCTTCTGCTTCGGCTGTTATCGGAATGTCTTGATCGATCTCTGCTAATACTTCTGTTCTTATTCTTCCCACTTGGATGATCTTTGCTTTTCTTGCTACTCTTATCTGTCTTGTGACTAGTATGACTTTCTTTACTTGCACTCCTTTCCTTATGATGATCTCTTGATCTATCAGGACTTCTCCGACTTTGGGATTCTCGACTTCTCTTACGTCCTGGACGATCTGCACTTCTACTGCGACTTCTGGATTGACTCCTATCCTCTCTAGAGTCAGATCTTGTTGATAATTGCTCAGAATTAGATGATTTTCCGTCAGGTTTTTTAGAAATTACTATCTGTCGAGGCACAAAGAAGCTTGGTTTGGATTTCAATGGTTCTACAACTTGCGTTGGTTTCACTTCAGCGACTTTCGAACTTCTGTATACAGTTCGAGTAATGGATCCAGAAAACATGTCAGATTCAGTCGGAGGGTTTGGATAGAGAATTGATGATCCTTTTTTAACCTCCACCTCTCTCCAACCACCTTTATTTTCTAATTCATTCTTTTCATTTAGAGCTGGTTCTTTATCGGGGAATTGTGATTTGGAGACAGGAGATTTGTCCCATCTGCTTTTCCTTTTGCTAACTCCTCCAGATTGTTCCTTTCCAGTCACTTTGACTTCGTCTGTGGATCCAGATCTTTGGCCACTCTTCTTTGAGGTTGCCTTGTCAGGTGAATATGAAATTCGGCGGTCCCCACGTTTCTTCTTAGAAACTTCCGGTTTTCTTTCTTTTTCATTAGAACTCGATCTTCTTCTGTTTCTGGATGGACGCTCACCAGAAATTGACCTTCTTTTGCTCCTGGTTGTATGGTCCACAGAGGGTGATCTCCTTTTGCTCCTAGTTGTATGTTCCACAGAGGGTGATCTCCTTTTGCTCCTGGTTGGATGTTCCACAGAAGGTGATCTCCTTTTGCTCCTGGTTGGATGTTCCACAGAAGGTGATCTCCTTTTGCTCCTGGTTGGATGTTCCACAGAAGGTGATCTTCTTTTGCTCCTGGTTGGATGTTCCACAGAGGGTGATCTCCTTTTGCTCCTGGTTGGATGTTCCACAGAGGGTGATCTCCTTTTTTTACTAGTATAACGGTCATGAGAACTTGACCTTCTTTTGCTTCTGTTTGGGCTTTCATCAGAACTTGACCTACTTTGTGATCTTCTATCATTAGGAGATTCTGAATCTCTTCGCTTGGAATGTTTTTTATCAGATTTTCTGAGATCTTTAGATAATTTGTCTTTTCTTGATCTTTCAGGAGATTTATATTTGTCTAGATTCTTCTTTGGTTTCTCTCGATGTTTTTCATCCTTCATTGAACGATCTCTACTTCTATCACTATCTGAGCTATCTTTACTCCTTTCCCTCTTTTTATGTGATCTCTCCTTTCCATCAGATGGTCTATTTTTGTCAGAATCACGCTTATCTCTGGCGTGAGCCTGGTCGGGAGACTTTGACTTGTATCTTTTATCACCAGGAGACCTGGAGTCTTCATCAAACGACTTGAGTTTCAAGACTTCCCTTTCCTTTCTTCTATCTCTGGACTGCTTTCTCGGTGAAGAGGTTCTCTCTGGAATCTTTCTGTCCTCAAATAAAACTTCTTCATTCTGAGTTTTTGCTGAAAAATCTTCCTGAAACCCAGGAAATGTTTTAAAGGTTTCTTTTTCATAACCAATGGCAGAGTCTCCATATAAATATTCATCTTCGTCGAAAGAGTTGGTCTGTGCTCGTGTAATATGCAGAGTTGAGGGTTTTTCACCCCATTCTGGAGAACTTGACTCATGACCTTTATCAGGAGACACAACTTTCGTTTTTTTTTTTGGAATTTCTAAATCTGATTCTGGTTTCAGTATAAGAGAGGGCTTCTCAACGGTTTGTGAGTTTGGACTTGGCGATCTGGATTTAGACTTGTTTCTTTTCTTCTTAGATTTTTCTTCACTTCTGTTTTCATCTTTCTTGTTTTCTTTCTCTTTCTTATTTTTCTTGCTTTTTTCTGAAGATTTTCCAGGACTGGATTTTGACTTCCGTCTATCTCTTGTGCTTTCGGGAGACTTGCTTTCTCCTCGTTTACTGTTTGGTGATTTGGATTTTCTCCTTTTGGAATCTTTGCGCCTGTCTTTACGACTGCTGTCAATTGATCTGCTACGACGACTTCGAGATTTATCGGTCGACCTGCTTCTATCTCTAGAACGTCTGTGTCGATATTTTGAATCAGGTGACCTTGACCCTTTACGATTGTGACTAGATCTTCGTCTACCAGGAGATCTTTCATCTGAGGATGAACTCCAAGATCTTCTATTGACTTTTTCACCAGGTTTTCTGAAAGAATAGAATAAATTCAATCGTTTAGAAATAAAATGGTAGTCATATCTAAATCATTCACAGAAAAATTGAATAGAAATTGTCTGCTATTAGAAATTCTTCTGTAGGGAGCAGAGTATTGACTACATTATTGTCAAGGGGGGAGCCAACAGGCAATTTCTTTTATTAGGTAATATGAAAAGAAGTTTGAAAGCGAGAGGCCATAGAAACATCACTGATTGAGCATGAACAATGTCAATTTAAATCATGAGATCTAGTTGAAGGTGGACACTCTATTGTGATCAACTATCAAAATAAAAGAACAAGATATCTGTTTAAATGTTAACAGAGTGTAATTCAAGTTTCAGTAATAACATTTCAAATAGAATAAAGTATAGAATGTGAAATAGCCTAATAAAATTGATTATGAATTGATTGACAAAGTGAAATGATGGTAATCTTGAAAATAATAGAACAAGCGACAAACCTTTCTTTGATCAAATCCATAAAGGAGTCAGCAATAGCATCAAATTTTTCAAAGTGACCACTACTTGGTTGATACTGAAATAAATACAAACCAT